CTGCGCAGTCCTGAATCTTTCCAAGATACCATTTCTGGTACTCTGATCATGGGAATCCGTAGAACTCTTCCAAATATTTGAAAGGAGTGTGCGCGGCGCCAAGGCGAGAGCCACAGTTTGAAAAGGAACCGCATTCAATCCGTGAAACTGTTGCAATTTCTTGAAACGAATGTGCGCGGCGCTGAGGCGAGAACCACATCTTGAAAACGACCCGCCCTCATTCCGTGAAGCTCTTCCAAAATGTTGAAACGAATGTGCGCGGCGCTCAGGCGAGAGGCACATGTTGAAAACCACTCGCCCTCAATCCGTGAAACCTTTGCAAATGTTTGAAACGAGTGTGCGTGGCGCTAATGCGAAAGCCACATTTTGACAACGACCTACTTTCAATCCGCGAAAACCTGGCAAAAGATTAAAACGAATGTGCGCGGCGCCAAGGCGAGATCCGAACGGTGAAAACGACCCGCCCTCAATCCCGGAAGCTCTTGCAATGTGTTTAACGAATCTGCGCGGCGTTGTGGCGAAAACCACATGTTGAAAACGACTCGCCCTCAATCCGTGAATAGTTTGCAAATGTTTAAAACGAATATGCGCGGCGCTAGGGCGAGAGTCACATTTTGAAAACCACGCGTCCTCCATCTGCGAAGCTGTTGCCAGTTTTTAAGTTTCAGAGCCACGAGTAGTGTGGAAGTCTCAGGCGAAACGCCCGGCACGCCCAAAAAATTGCCCAAGGGTGCGACAGGGAGAACTTATGCACAGGGTAAAGGAATGGAGGAGGGAGGAGTGGGGGAGGGGAATAGGACGAGGTGGGACTCCTGAGCGATGTTGGAATACACCCTCTTTCCAAGATCCCTTTCCATAGGCCCCTAGAAAGGGTCAGCTCCACTGGTGGAATTGCCCCGCTGGGGGACAAAAGTGCGAACAATTTGAAGCGTGCAAAAACACCGTTCTCAGGACTCCAACGCCACGGGTTTGCCTGACAGGTACGTCTTGGCGATCCGAAACCGTGCCAGAAGACCGTTCCTGGGGCATCAACACATCGAATCAACGTAACTGTTGCGTCCTGACAATTCTCCAGCATTCCACAACATGATTTCTGGAACGTTGGCCATGAGAAACAATGAAACTTTTGAAATTTCTTGAAAGGAATGCGCAGCGCTGAAGGGAGAGCCACATGTTGAGCTCCAACTGCCCTCAAACCGTGAAGCTCTTGCATATTTGTAAAACGAATGCGCGCGGCGCTAATGCGAGAGCCACATTTTGAACACGAGCCGCCCTTCATCTGTGAAGCTCTTCCAGTTTGTTTAACCAATGTGCGCGGCGCTCAGACGAGAGTCACATTGAAAAAACGGCCCGCCTTCAATCCTTGAAACCCTGACAAATGTTTGAAACACATGTGCGCGGCGCTAACGCGGCAGCCACATTTTGAAAACCACCGGCCCTCAGTCCGTGGACGCGTTTTCAATTTTTTAGCATCAGGGTCATAAGTTGCAAGAACAAGCTCAGGCGAAACGCCCGGCCCGCCCATTCGACCGGCCTCGGGGTGCGACAGGGAGGAGTGATCTATAAGGAAAAGGAATGGAGGAGGAGGAGGAGGAGGAGGAGGAGGAGGAGAAGGAGGAGGAGGAGGAGGAGGAGGAGCCAGGGAAGGGTCATCCTCCCGCCCCTGGCTCCTGCCCTCCTCGAGCGCACGGCGCAACCAGAGAGCCAGTGTGGGGAACTCCGACAGCGCAATACGTGGACGGGCCCGGTGCCCGCGGCGACCCTCCAGAGGCCCCAAGCCGAGGCGCTCCTCTCTTCAGTTTAGCGCGTGCCGGCGGTGCGCCTCCATGGATCCCCAGACGTCCTGCCAGGCCCCCTCGCATTGTTAAGACATGCGACGGGAGGTTGTCGCGATTTTCGGCCAGTGGGGGCCCTTGCTTGGCCTCGGGATTGCCACAAGATGATTAAGGGTGAAAGACCAGTCCCGCGGAATGGGTCGAGACCTCTGGGGGTCGACGTTCTGGAAAAATCAAGACCTCGGGCCTAGGTCTGCAGGATCCCCAGGGGCCGGCATCCACATGTTTAGAAGGCTCTACCAAAAATAGCGCGCCCCCGAACACCTGGACTTAGCTGCCTCGGCACGCTCGTTTGGAAACGCAACGCGTACCGTGCTCAGCGTATTGGCCGACGTTTCGGCGAACGCATTTGCAGACCTACATTTTCAGCCTACGTGTTGTGTTCCGAGTCAACACGCTACGGGTTTCGTGGTGTGTATACGGGCAGTTAAGAACTTGGATCTTCCTTTTTTCCTTCCCCCCGCAATCTACATAAGGAATGCGATTTGAAAGCCGCACCTGCTGGAGCCGAATATTGAAGGAAGATCCGACGTGGACACTGGTCCAGAGTGCTGAGTGAGGCCCGACAGAGGGCAGTGTTCGGAGTGCCGCCTTCCAGGTGTAAGGCGGTTTTCACTGAGCGAACAGACATTATCATGCTCATGCTTCTCGCCAGTGGGCGAGACGACGAGCCGCGCCCAAACCCCGTGGCGGCGCGATGTGAGGAGGGAGCCGGGGGGGGGGGAGGCGGCAGGGGCTCGTCTACGCTACACGTAAGAGTGAGCGTTCGCCAGAGAGACCTGGAGTGCGGGCACACGGGGGCCTTGAGACGGGGGTCATTGCAAACGGGGGTCAGCCAGGGCGCCAGATCTTGCAGGATCCTGCAGGATCTTGCAGGATCCTGCATAACCCGATTGACCTAGGTTTGTATTGACCCCGGTCAGTGTATCCCCGAGGCCTTCTGAGACGGCAGGGGGTCGGCTACACGTAAGAGTGACCTTTCACCAGAGTGACCTTTTGTGCGGGCACACTGTTTCGCGCAATGGAGGGGCGACGAATGGAATGGGGGGGGCATGGAGGGCTGCAGAAAAGGAACCCTTTCGGGCCCCAAAGGGGGCCATTAGGGTCCGAAAGTTCACCTGTCTCCCCCCCACGTATCGCCCCTATAAATTCGCGCCCAAGGCACACTAGGGTCCCCAGATGTCTGAATGCGATGCGATTGTAGCGGCTTGCGCACTCGGGCTTGGTCTCTCTGAGCCCCCCCGAAAGCGGCGCACCACAGCAGGTCATTCTAATTTGGGGGCGCTCTTGGGTGTAGCCGAGGAAGGGGGGGGTCCTAGACGCCCTCCCGCCTTCGAAGCCGCCTTTCTGGAAGGCGTCCCTGCCTTTGAGCATACTATGCCTTCTTCGAAGGCCGCCCCACTCGCCTGGCCCCAACAAAAACCTTTCCAACACGCACACGCGTGTTCTCTTTGTTGGCAGCGCTGGCGGGCTCGAGCACTACTGCAGAGCCGTCGCTCCTCGGGGGCGGCCAAGAGGAGGGTGTTGACTAGGGGGGATAAGAATCCTGGCCAGGGCCATGATCTCTCCCCAGATTTCATGGCGCCTCGTCTTAATTGAGTACGTCCCCTGCCTCCCGCCCTGCGGAGCGGAGCGACATGCTATCAGCACGCATGGCATAGCGTGCCGCTGGGGCCGCCGCCGCGACACGCTAGGCGAATGTTCCCGACCGTAGCCTTCTCGGGCAACTTGACGGCACCATCGCGAGTGCAAGAGGGAGACACGCTCGAGGATGGCAATTTCCACCAGGCGCATGGGCTGCGCTTGGCAAGTCGGCGTGCAAGGAAGAGCACCCAGCTTAGTGAGTGGGGCAGGCGGAGCCTGTCCACATATTTTTCTTCCGCCGACCAGATGACGTTACCGTAGCGAGAGATACAGTCGCAGTCTAACATGAATTCCTATTCGCGCACGCGGAGACACTTGTCCTCCCGAAGCGCCGCTGCGCAACCGGACCTCTCCCAGGCCGTGGCCATGAAGGCGCCCCCCCCCCTCAGAGGCAAAAGGAGCCAACAAGCGCCCGCCAGACCCTCCCCTCGATCCTCGACCCTTCGCGCGCGCCGCCAGATCGATCGGCGGGACGGTGGCCAGGGCCGCGCCGCGAGGTGCTGGACGGACCGCGAGGGGCCAGAGCCGCGAAGGCCTTCGACACTCGACCCAGGGACAACGTTCCCGGGGGGGGGGGGGGGGATAGCCAGGCTCAGCGGGGGACGCATCGACCCCCCCATCGCCCGCTGCTCGCCGATAGGGGCCCGATGGCCCCCCCGCCCAGGACCGCGCGGTGTCGCTATCGGGAGCTCAGCGGTCCCCCCGTCGACCCCCCCAAGCGTTCCCCCTCGTCGGCCCCCTGGCGCGGCTGGGGCCGCGCCTAGCCCCCCGCCGCGAGGTGCTGGACGGGCCGCGCACGCCCACGTGGGACTGCGCGCAGTGCGCGCGCCCCGCCTTGGGGGCCGCCGCGGGGCCCTCCTCTTGCTTGGGGCCGCGCGAGAGTGATCCTTCGCCAGAGTGCCAGCGTGACCTCTGGGTTCGGGGGTGGACAGACCTCCTACCCTGACACGTCGATTGAGGAATTGGCCGTTTTCGGTTCGCGAGAGGGCGTCGCGGCGGTCACTTTTGCGGGTCCAGGTCCGTCGGTTTCGGTCCCAGGCCGTTTTCACGAAGGGGAGGTTTACTAGAGGGAGGCTTGTCCACCGCCGAAGTGCCAGAGTGACCTGTGGGTGCTGGCCCACAGGGTTACTCGGGGACCCCCAAAACGGTGTGGTGGCCACACCGCGTGGAGAGTCAGCGGAGTTTCGGGGTCGCCGCACGCTTTTGGGATCCGGGCCATGCCACGAGAGCGTCTCGGGCGATGGGGGCCTCCAGGGTCTCAAAACCGTGCGGTGACGGACCGCGAGAGGCGGTCGTGGGGGATTCCGAGGTCACCTCGCGGTCCGTCACCACACGGTTCTGGGGCCCCCGAGTTCCCTCCGACCATTGGCCAACGCGCTTGGATTTGGCCCCCACACGGCCGCATGGATCCGCGCACCGAAGATCACTCTTGCCTGGGGTCACTCCTGCGTGTAGCCGACTCTGCGGTGTCTGCGGGGTCGCTGGGGAGGGGGAGGCGTGCTGGCGTCCAGGGCCCGTTTCGATTCGGTCTGTCTGGCTCGATCCGAGTCGGCTTCGGCTTCCAGGCGATGCGGTGCGGCCCGATGCCTGCATAGCGCAGTTGTAGCGTACCCAGGCGGGGATCGCTGGGGGGATGGCCGCGTGCGCGCGCGGGGATATTTTGGGGCCCAGAGCCGAGGTGCACTATAATCCACAGGGCCCAGGAGCTCACGAAAACGGAGGAGCTGGTCGCCAGAAGCCCAGATGTTGGCTCAGCGCACGGGGGCGAGGAGGAGGGATGGGGCCGAAGAGGATAGATTGGAGTGTAGCGCCGTAGCGCTGATGCCCTTGAGCCTCAGTGTAATCCTGCATGCGCCAGGTGGGGATCATGGGCATAGGCTCCCCCAGTCTTCAAAAGCGGCGCCGATGAGGGGAGGCCGCCGAAGGCAAGGAGGACAAGCAGGGGAAACAAGGGAGGAGGATGAGGAGGAGGAGGAGGAGGAACAGGAGGAGGAAGGAGATGACTACAATAAGCCCAAGATGTATCGACGATGCCGCCAACGTCAAGTTATTCAGTCAGACTTTAGACTGTGAGATCAACTCACGGCCCCACATAATGAAGTGGCCCCTTGAAAGACGAGCGCCCCATTGGCCTGCAGTGCAGGACACCGCCCTCCATCAGTCAAGGTGGAAAGGCGCAAGGAAGTACTGTACAGCGAGAGTCCCGCTTCGTACAGGGGACGCCCTCCAGCCGGAAAGCTGTGGCACTTGCTTGCACGTGTCGCGCTAAATCCGAAAGTGGTATCAAGTGAGAGTTCCATGTTGAACAGGAGTTGCTTTCCATCCCTGCTGAAGTTGCACCTGTTTCCGTGTTTTGCTGCAAGTGTTCCCCAAACAGCGTTTGCATCTCGAGATTCTTATTTCTGCTCTAAGGAACGGGGCCTGTCTGTCGGTCTGGCGGCTATGTTGCCGCCGTCGCCGCCCCGTCACCGCCTCGTCGCCGCCCGTCGCCTGGGCCTGTCTGTCGGTCGCCGCGCTTGTTGCCGCCGTCGCCGCCCCGTTGCCGCTTCGATTTCGACACATCGATTGCACTTCATATATTGTGCATCGCGTAGATCGCAGAACATGTATTGCACCACCTGGATTCTCTTTTCTAAAAAAGAATAGACTCTACCTACCCCCCCCGGCGTTATCGCCCGCCCTTTCGGATATGTAAATCACATATGATTATGACCACATGTCCATCCTACATATGAGATCACACTGCCCCAGGCCAACCAGAATCCCCCCCCCTGAGGTTCCCTTGTAAAAAAACACTATACGGTGACATTTTTGGTTCCAGCATGACACTTTTTCACGAATCCCTTGCAAAACAATGGGACGAAGTGCACACGCGCGCGTCGTCGCGCGCGCATGCCGAAATCCTTCAAAAACCTTCGATGCAGGAAGGATTCCGCCATCAAGTTCCCAAAACACATACAAAAACACCGGGTTTCGTAACACTGATTTGTTAAAAAAGCTTACGCGCGAGCTCTTGCGAAATCTTAAGAAAACCAATGGTTATTCAAGATTTTCACAACATGCTGTCAAACGGGCGTCGCGCGCGCATGTCGAAATCTGTCGAACCCCCTTGCGCGTGTGCCGTCGCGAGAATATTCTGCAAAAGATTGGACGAAGTGCAGACGCGCGCGTCGTCGCGCGCGTACGCCGAAGTCCTTCAAAACCCATCGGTTTCGGAAGGATTCAAAATCGCGCGTCCAGAAAACATGCAAAAACACAACGCTTCGCAACACGGATGTTCAACAAAAGCGTGCACGCGCGCTCTTGCGGCGTCGTCGTCGTCGTCGTCGCCACCGTCCTCCCTCCTCCCGCGTCGTCGTCGTCGTCGTCGCCTACGTCGTCCTGTGTCTTTCCTCGTGTTCGTCGTCGTCGTCCTCTTTGGCGTCGTGGTCGTCTCCGTCGTCGTTGTCGCCGTGGTCGTCCTCCCTCCTCCTCCCTCGTCGCCGTCGTCGTCGTCGTCCGTCGTCGGCGTCTCGTCGTCGTCCCTCCTATTTCATCGCCGTCGTCGTCGTCGTCGTCGTCGCCGTCTCGTCGTCGTCTTCCCTCCTCCCTCGTCGTTGTCGTCGTCGGCGTCGCCGTCCTTTCCATTCCATTTTGGCTCAAGGCCCTTGCTGAGTCTGCGGTCGTATGCATATGAGGTCTCTTTTCGCTTGTTTCACATTCGTACACCTTCTGTTTCTTGTCTCGCGCGCGCATTTTGCCCTCCGTGCGGAGACACACTCAGACATGGCTGGGACGCACCTGGTCGATGACCCTATCGAGGTTGAGGAGAATAAGACAAAGCAGCAGCGCACCGCCCCAGGAGGAGCTGCCCCGTTTGACCCGTGGGGCGGCTACAAGGGCGCCAGTAGCAGTGCCGCTTCCTCAGTGCTGCCGCTAGGACCATCACCTACTATCCCTCCACCGACAGCCGCTCCTGATGGTCTCGATCCAGGGGCCGCTCGACTGTTTGCCGCACTGTCTGCCGATTTCAGGAACGTAATGGGGGAGACTATCAGGCCGTTGGACGCTAAAGTGGAGGAGGTAAATCGTAAAGTTTCGAATGTGGACAGGGAGGTCGCCACGCTGAAGGGGGACATCGCCAGCCTGAAGACTAGGATGGCCATCGCCGGGTCAGGGGCCAGTGCGACTCGTGCCACCACTTCAGTTGCCTCTGTGGCTTCGGTGGGAAGTGGGGGCTCTGAGGCTTCCACGATGGCACCACCCGCTAGGATGCCGATGGGCTTGAGAAAGACTCTCTGTATCGGCGGCTGGATCTACTCTGAGGGGGCGGAGTTGGCGAGTGAGATGCGTGAAGTACTACGTCTAGCCCACATTGAGGGAGTTGCCAAAGTATATCCAGCGGGCTCATACACAGACAGAGTGAAGGTCGAGTTCATCAGTAAAGATTTCATGTGGAAGTGCCTGGTATCCATGAAAGAGAAGAAGTTCGCCAGCTCACTGGCAGAGAGGAGCCGCGAGGTGGACCCAATCGACGGAAACAAGCGGAAGCTCTGGCACAGCATCGATAAGTATACGGATGAGATCGTATGCTTCAGTCGGGGGGCCCACGCAAAGGACCTGATCAAGAGTGTTTTCGTGACTAAGTGGCCCACTCACGACGTGCAATTGCTGACGATGTCGCTGGATGCCCAGAAGGACATGGGCACCGTCGTCTGCCTGCGCAAGCGCTTGCCACAGGAGGTCCAGCCGAGGGAGCCAATCCGCCTGCTCACGCGGGCGCACCCATCATACCTGCTTCGCCTGGCGGAGGGGGGGGGGGGGGCAAGCCTGGCTCAACAGCATGGGGGTGCAGTTGGACCTGGCCTCCAAGCTAGACGAGATCAACGACCCTCCTCGCAGGTCTTGGCTATCCTCGGAGGGGCGCGCTCACGCCAGCGACGACACTGTCATCGCATCTTGGAACTGCCGCGGAGTTCCGAGGAAGGGTGTCGCAGGGGCGCTGGATCAACTAGAGCGCGAACTCTTCTGGGATGTGATTTGCTTTCAAGCATTCACGGAGACCGACCTTGTCAATCCTGAGATAGCTGGCCACACAGTAATCCTAGGGCCTCCCAGCGGGAGGCGGACAAGGAGACCCTGTATCGTTGTGCATAAGACACTCACGGCTTGCATCATTGGGAAACCACTGTTCAGATCCTCCTGCCTAGCACTTGGGGTCCACACAGCTCGGGGAAAGCTATGGATTATACGTGCACATGTCGACCCCGATTCCCACAATCAGACCCTCTATGCCCAAGATCTTCAAGAGTGCGAGCAGTTGATTGACGCGACACCCGCTGGTTTCAGACTTATTCTTTGTGTAGATGCGAATGCCTCTTTTGGAAGGAAAAGATACCCAACTCGAGCGTGGGCCCACATACCTCTGGAATTCGCTCGTGGAAGACAGATTACTTGTATGAGTTCACGGTCGCAAATGACTTGATTGCGGCAAACACTTGGAGCAAATCAGCTATGGACACCGCGACATGCTTTTATGACGGACGTGTTGAGCCCAGACAGATCGACTTCGCATTGGTCTGCAGCTCTTTCCCCGTCGCCAGCTACAATGCCCAGGTGAGGGAGTCTTCAGCGGTGAAGCCGGACCACTCGCCAGTGGTCCTCCGCTTTTTTGCAGAGCGACAGCCTCACATTATCTTCACCCCCGCTTGCAAGCACCGCTTCACGACTAAACCTGTGGGCTGGCAGTTGCTAGACCACAGTTTTGGAGCCCAGCTGGAGGACCGTTCCGACATTTCGGGCAGGTTGAGATCCGATATCTCGCCTGATCAGGTCAGTTT